ATTATTATTATTATTATTATTATTATTATGATGATGATGATGATGATGATGATGATATTTTTTAAAGGAAGAAGTTATAATGTTTGATGTTCATTTATGTAGCAGGAGGAAGGAGACCGCAATAGAACTATGGAGCTGGAAATGTGGCATGATCTTGCTTCCATCTACATTAAATCATCTCAGTGGCAAGATGCAGAGATCTGTCTTTCCAAATCCGAGGCCATTAGTTGTTATTCCGCTTCTCGATTGTATATTTCTGGTAGATATATTTCACTCATTATCTCCATAATGCATTGCTTAGTGCTTACTATGCTAAATCATTTTCATATATCTTTTCGTTTTTATTGTCTTATATTCATGCGAAACCTAGCGAAAAGGTTATACCGCCTGTATGGAATCACCAATTTCTCGTACGTAATTCGTTCTTTCTTTAGACATCACGAGGCATCTTTGAAGTTACAAGGTTCTTTGTTATTCAGTGAACACATTCTTCTCGTGTGGGCTAGCTACCGGCTTTATAGTGTGTACTTACTCCTTCCTTAAGTATCTAGGAGGTCAAAATACCTCCATTCTTTTGCCCTTTTTTGGGGCTGACAAATTATAATGTTTACTCCATGTTGTAATATGATGAACATGTTTCTGCGCATTTCAGTATGTCCGTCGTGTAAGATAACATTCCATATTGATGATGAAGAATATTATGCAGGTTTTCTTCAGCAGTCGAAGGGCCTGTACAAAGCTGCACTAAGAGATTATACTAATGCTCTAGCTATTGATCCATGCCACGTTCCAAGTCTAATATCAACGGCGGTGGTACTTAGGCAGATAGGTGACCATTCTCCTGGGATTGTTAGAAGTTTTTTGATGGAAGCACTACGACTGGATCGGACAAGTGCTTCTGCATGGCATAATCTTGGCCTGGTTTACAAAGAGGAAGGTGCGGCAGTGGAAGCAGCTGAGTGCTTTCAAGCAGCTGTAGTTCTGCAAGAGACTGAACCAATTGAACCGTTCAGATGACTACCCTTTTGTACATACTTTTTAACAGATTGTTCAAGTCGCAACCTTGCTGCAACAATCATATTCTGTTGGAGCTAAGATCTTGTAGTTCAATGACACGAGGGAAAGATTTAGCGATTTTGAATCTCAAGTCCCGGTGCTTCCAAATGATTCACAATGGAGAGATTTTTTGTCAAAAGAGCAAGTTTATTCTTTAGATCTGATAAGAGAGGAGTATAGAGTTCGAAATGGTAGGCTCTTACTTCCTATAGCACATGGTATTCTACAAAACTTTCTTGCCTTTGGATGTACAGGTGGTTCTGAAACTCACAAGTATGATACATATTTATCCATACAACATCTTGCAATACTCAGCTTAAGGAATCTTTTAACCCTGTCTTTGTATCCATCTTGTGTAATGTATTTTTTTAAGACCTAACTTAACAAATACACTGGTTATGTTATCTGGCTATTATGTGTAGCTAAAAATTTCAGGGAGGAAGGGTATGAAGGTCCAAGTTCAATTATGAAAGACACCATCAGTGGTAAGACAGTACCTTCGGTTCAGACCAGCTTGCGTGCACCCGCCTATT